TACATTGTTAAAAATTAAATGCAGTTGAACCATTGTGGACAAGACACAGGGAGTGGTAGACTTGAGCATGGAGACACAGGCAGGGCATGGGGCTGGTTTTGTTAGGCCCTGGTGAGGGGTCTAGATCTTATTCCAAGGCAGTACATGTCATGCCAAGGCTTTAAGCAAGAGAAGTTCATAATCTCTTAGAGTACAAAGATTGCTCTAGCTGTTGTTTGGAGAATAGAACATGTGGTTTTCACCCATCAGCTATAAGGAGAGAATGACCATCAAATTGGAAAAGACCAACACATATCAGCAAAAAAGGATTGAAACTAAAATGGCAGAAAAGAGGAAGATAACAATTGAAATGAGCTAACAACTCCCAGAACAAGGTCAAATATACTTCAGGGAACTAAAAGTAATTGCAAAAGTGACTGAAAGCCATGGCAAAAATCAAGGGAAACCCAGCAGACTGAAGAAACCAAATGCTCTTATTTTCAAGTGAGGAGAGGACAGAAGTGACAATTAAAAACTAGAAGCAAAATCCTCTAAGTGACTATTTAAAATGGGGCTGGTTAACATTTAGGAAAGAACATTATGAATGTCAACAATCAGCACAAGTAGACTTAAAAAAATCATGTAAAGTTAAGGCAATTCCTGCTGTGATAGTTATGGTGGTGGCTGATAAAAGTTACCAGAATGAAAATATCTCCATCACTGGGTGTCTCCATCTTGATGAGACTTTTGAATGAAATCATAGAATCTCACAGATGACTAAAACAGTATCACGATTTATTCTAAATTTCTAATCTACAGAAGATTCCCCCCCTAAATATTCTACCAGTTTTTTGGATAACAATTGTTTACACATCATAAAAAGTGAGGGCCGGGCCAGGAGTGGTTGCTCACACCTGTAATCCTAGCACTCTGGGAGGCCCAGGCAGGTGTATTGCCTGAGCTCAAAAGTTCAAGACCAGCCTGAGCGAGAGTGAGACCCCATCTCTAAAAAACAGCTGGGCGTTGTCACAGGCCCCTGTAGTACCAGCTACTCAGGAAGCTGAGGGAAGAGAATTGCTTGAGCCCCAAAGTTTGAGGTGTAAGCTATGATGCCATAGTACTCTTACCATGGCAGTCTACCCAGGGGTACTCACGCCTGTAATCCTAGCACTCTGGGAAGCCAAGGTGGGTGGATTGCCTGAGCTCAGGAGTTCTAGCCCAGTCCGAGCAAGAGTGAGACCCCAAACCAGCGGTTCTCAACCTGTGAGTTGTGATTCCCCCCCATTTTTTCTAGTTTTTGGCTGGGGCTGGGTTTGAGTCCGCTACCTCTAGCATATGGGGCCGGTGCCCTACTCTTTGAGCCATAGGTGCTGCCCTCATGACCCTTTTTAACAATGAAAATACATTGTGGCATTAAGAAGGTTGAGAACCACTGCCCCAAACCTACTAAAAATAGAAAAATTAGCTGGGCATCATCGCAAGCACAGGAAGTCCCAAGTAATCTGGAGGCTGAGCCAAGAGGATCACTTGAGCCCAAGAGTTTGAGGTTGCTGTGAGCTGTGATGATGCCAGGTCACTCTGCCCAGGATGACAGAGATTGTCTTTTTTTTTTTTTTTTTTCAGAGACAGAGTCTCACTTTGTCATCCTTGGTAGAGTACTGTGGCATCACATCTCACAGCAATCTCCAACTTCTGGGCTTAGGCAATTCTCTTGCCTCAGCCTCCCAAGTAGCTGGGCCTACAGGCGTCCACCACAATGCTCGGTTATTTTTTTGTTGCAGTTTGGCCAGGGCCGGGTTTGAACCCACCACCCTTGGTATACGGGGCCGGCACCCTACCCACTGAGCCACAGGCGCTGCCCAAGATTCTGTCTTAAAAAAAAAAAAAGTGTTCATTCCAGTTTGTATTGGTTTGAAATGTATTACTGAAAAATCTGTTTCCATGTCAGTGCAAACCACTAATTCTGTTTCTTTCTTGGGGATTATAATATATCCAATTCCTCTCACATAACACCTTTTATTTTAAATTTTTGGAATGTGTCATACTATACATTGGAAAATAAAGATATGTATTTGGTTATGTATTTGTGATTGAGCAACTGTATTAAAGAAGTTTAATTAGTTGTTCATTGACAAGCTAGAGCGAAGCCTTTAGAATCATCCTAGAGGGTTTTTTTTTTCTTTTTGAAACAGTTTCACTCTGTCATGCTGGAGTTAAGTGCTCTGGCATCACAGCTCACAGCAATTTCAGACTCCTGGGTTCAAGTGGTCCTCTTGCCTCAGTCTCCCGAGTAGCTGGAACTATAAGGGCCTGCATGACACCCTGCTATGTTTAGTAGAGACCAGGTCTCACTCTTGCTCAGGTTTCAAACTCCTGGGCTCAAGCGATCCACTCGCCTTGGTTTCCCCAGAGTGCTAGGATTACAGGTGTGAGCCACATTGCCTGGCCTCTATTCATTTTTCCAATAAAATTGTTTGGATCAAGGTACTGTCAAGGCTGGAGGTGAAATAAGGCAAAACCAGAGAGATATTTGGGTGACTGAACCCAAATTCAATGAAAGTGTTATTAGAATATGATACTTGGTTGCAACCAATAAATTTTAACAGCAATAAGTGCAAAGTTTCATAATAAAAATTCTCTGTAAAAAAATGAAATGCTTCCTCCACAAGTCAATCGAAAAATACTCAGGAATTTTAATTAAACGTAAGCCCATTATGACTGAGACATGGCTGTTAATATATTTGAATAGATATATCTGCTAAAACAAAGGTGGGGTGGTGCCTATGGCTCAAAGGAGTAGGGCACTGGCCCTATATACTGGAGGTGGTGGGTTCAAATCTGACCCTCACCAACAACTGTAAAAATAAATAAATAAATAAAATAAAGGTGGCCAGAATTCCACTGGATTTATGCAAATCAGATCACACAGGAAACATGTTCCAGATGTCACTTGGAGAATCACAATGACAAACTCCTTGTGAGAAAAAAAACAGGGTGAGGAAGGATTGGAAACTATTAAATACTAGGAAATGTGTTGAAACCAAGGAGGGTTAGGCCCAAACGAATAAGTCTTGGGATGAGACAGGGCTCTTGTAAAGGGAAAACAGTGAAGGAGTTTGAGGAGGAAGGTGGTTGGCACAGAATTCAACTGAATATAAAGAACCTCCTTAAACATTGGGAAGAGATGAACTTAGGAAGCAGAAAGCTCTCCTCGCTGAAAAAGGTCAAGCCCATTCACCAGGAATGTTCTTGCGGGAAAGGAGGTTGAATTAAATCAACTCTAACTTCCCATCCAAATCTAACACAGTATGCTTCAAGTCTGGTCCTCAAACAGCATAGAGTTGCTGGCCTGGTGGCTCCCTGCCCAGGAAGATCCTACTGGGGACATTCTGTCGCTCTTTGGTATGTTAGGAGGGACCATTTCCTGCGCGTGGTTCACTTACGGTCAGCTGTCACTCTGCCGCTCCCTTTTGGAACTCAGTAATAAGCTTCCTCTTTTGGAAAGAGAGCAGGAGAGGATGGGGGGGGTGTGTGGATTAATCTTTCTTCCATTTCAGTTCCAGACATTCCTAATCTGTTATGTCAACTCGAGTTTATAACTGAAGTTGAAAGTTCAGGTCCCTCCCCTCCCCAAAGACGGGCGGAGGCGCTCAGTGGCCAGGACTAGGGAGTGGCTAATAATTCGGAAGATGACAAATACAATCTATCTGCTTAAAAAAAAAATAATAGTAATGGCTAAAGCAAAAGGGAGGATGCAAAGAACCTGGAGAAGGAAAGAGGAGCCTTCTCCCCGCCGCCGCCACCACTCTGGCGCCATTTGGACCGCCTCACTGGTGATGAGGTGAACATGGAAACAGGTGCACCTCCCCCCTACCTCCCGTGCCCTAAGCAGGGGTTGGCTAGCGGCGTTCACCGTGTCCGGAACCGATTAATCAAGGCCAGACAAAGGCTAGGTAGAACTGGAGGGGATGGGGTCTGGTGAGCGAAGCCGGGAGCCGTGCACTGGGTACACTGCAGATGACATCACTGCCCGAACCAGGTCTGGCCTTCCCCTTCCCGGAGCTGGAGGCCAGCCCGTCTGCACGGGAGTGGGAGTGGGTTTGCCCGGAGGGGGCGAGCTGGTGGGAGGCGGTGCGCCGGCGCTGGGGTGAGGCACAGAGGCGACAGCGGGAGACGCGGAGCGAACCGGCGAGCCGCGAAGCCTCGGGCCCGAGGTGTTTGAGCCGCTCCGGCTCCGCCCCCGCCCGGCGCCGCGCTCCGCCCTGGGAGGGGCACGTCTGGTGGTGGGTGGGGAGTGTGTGCACTAGGGGAGGGTCCGGGGGTGGGGGCGGAGAGGCGCTGCGCATGTCAAGGCTGACCCAGCACAGAGGCTTGGAGGCCCTGGGGAGGGACTGCTGGTCACCTGCCACCTCGGGCCGGGGCCCCTCCGGACCCGGGGCGAGCTCCCAAGAGGGCCCCACCTCTCTCCCCCACCCCCAGCTCTGAGGTCGCCGGCCCAATCGGAGCTTCTGTCTCCTTCCCCGGGAGCCGAGGGTGGGTGTGGACGCGACCGTCGTGGAACGAATTCTGTAGCCCAGACGGGCGGCCCGGGTGTGAGGACACGCCCAGCTGGAGAAGCCAGTCCGGGCGGTTGAAGCCGGAGCTCCGGGGTCTGGGTGGATCTTAGTCCGAGTGTAGCCGTCCCTAGGGGAGGCGAGAGGTGAATCAACATGGACCCCAGCCTCCTGGGACCAGCCGTGCGACTCCTTTTGGAGCCCAGCTTCCCCTAGGCGCAAACGAGAAGGCCTGGGAGCGTCTGGAATGTGAAGTTCCGGGGTGGGCGGGGAAGCTACTGTCCTTGGTGCTGAGCCGGATCCCAGCAACTGGCTCCGGGGGGAGCGCGCGGAGCTGCTGATCCGTTGCTTCGAATTGGGGCGCTGTGCTGGGGTAGCTGCGAACCCGCAAAGCTTCCGCAGGCGCGGGCGCTCGGCCTTTCTTCCAATCGGAAAGTCGCCTACTTGGGGCAGTTGGTCCCAAAGGGTTTCCTCGAAAGAATCTGAGCGGGCGCAGTGCTTGACTAGGGCAATCTCTCTGTTTAGCTCTGAAGCCGCCAGCCGAAGATGCCTGCCTTCAACAGATTGATTCCCCTGGTTTCTCTCGTGCTCATCTACTGGGGTAAGTACCAGCATCCCGCCATGCGAGATGCAGATAGCTGTAATAACGCTAACGGTAATAACAATTATTGATGTCGCTGGTGACAAAAAGGAGCTCTGGTTATCTTTCCTGGGTGCCAAGTCTTCCAGACTTGGAGATCACAGGGGTTCCACGAGAGCTGGGATTTTGAGATCCGAAAGGCGCCTCCCCACTTCCCTGCTGCGATATCCCCCAGCCTCCTTGGGTGATTCTACCACCATTCCTCCAGTTTCCGGATAATTCCAAAGTATTTTTTTTTCCTGTTTCCCTTTACTGAAAGGAAATGTAATCACGTTCACTATTCTTTAAAAAGCATCATTTGTAGTTACATTTAATTTCTTAATGAGGAATCGATGCTACTGGAAAGCTTGCTGGATCTTCACATTTATTTTCTGTATTTAATACTAAAAGCTGCTTGCATGAATTTGTAAAGTGAAAATATTTTAGTTGTTGATCATTTTTATTTCCATAAGGAATAGGAGCTTCAGCCATTTGCTGTTGTGGTATTAAATAGGCAACAGTGAAATGCATCCTTTTTTTAATTTTTCACATGAACATGTGGAACTAAGATGCTTTGGTGTTTGGGGAGCTGGGTTTCTGCCTTGGAAGATGACGAGCCTCTCACTCGTCAGTTGGGAGAGACTGAGGTGGCCTCCTTCTGAATAAGGGAGTCTTACACTCTGGAACACTAAAGAGGGGAGTCAGAGATGGTCTTGGAGAGGGGTGCCTGAGAATTAAGAATCTGTATGATAACGCCTGAACCTGTATAGGGATACTGTGTTCCTGTGTGTAAAGCTGTCTCAGTGTCTGAATGTGTTCACTAAATTGTATCTGTGCATTTTATTAGAGACATCTGAATGAACTGGTGAGCGCGTACTAGTGTGTGCGTGCGTCTGTGTGTGCTGTGTTGTGTCTACTCCTGGGCATCTCTGCTCTGGTGTCTCTAATTAGATCCTCAGATCAAATATAGGTGTTTTTCCATTTGTATATTGATGTATATGATCTTAACTACCTTCCTCCATGCTGAAATTGGTAAACAGGATAAGTGGACACAACCATACCCACCTGCCTTACTGAAATTATGCCCTCGTGGTCGGCATGAAACTCATTCTGCCGGTGCAGTAGCAGACGTGCTGACTTAGCATCACTTTGTCAAGCCTCCAGACTAACTCTGGTAGCGTTATCTGGATTTTGCATGTGATCAGAGGCAGCACCAAGCCTTCTGTTGAACAAAATGCTTGATGAGACAGTCAAGGAAGTTCTAGGAGAGAAAGTCATGTCAGCCCCAAGGGCAGACTTACTGGCAGCCATCCTCTGTAGAGTAGACCAGACCTGGAGATGAATCAGATAGAGTGAGTTTCAATGATCTCACTTGCCTTGTGGATTAAAGATTGAGATTTTCTCAGGAGAGGTTAAGGCTGGCAACTAGAGCCTTAGTCTTAATAAAAGAGTATGAAATTATAGAAGGGGGTCGGGGTGAGATTCTGCAGAGGCTTTCTTCCTAATCTAAGACTTCAGAGTCCCTGGCTGAATTCCATTTGACGGAGAGAGCATGCAATAGTCCAAGAATCTTTTGACTGACGTGCTCAGCCTCCATCAGGTCTCAGTATCACCACTAGTTTACTATGTCACAACCTTAAAGTACTATCTAGTTCCTGTTATGTAAAGTCTGGAAGTTGGCACATAGGAGATGGAACATCCCCTTCAGCTCCACACTAAATGGTAGGGAAGTATTTACAGAATATTGCTAAAATTGTCCGAGTGTCCATCTTCCCCACCCCCCTAAACTTTACAAGATGTGTACACATTCTTACTTACGCTCATCTTCTTTGTAATCTGGACACTGTCTCATCAAACTGAAGGGGAAGCTGTGGAAGGGAAAGAAGGATGGCTAAGATGCCTGGCTGTTGCATGTGAGAAAAAGATCCACACTTCAGAAATGCAATTTCATTTTATTTGCATATAATCCCAGTATTGGAAAGCACTTAGCTTAGATGCATTCTGCCTTCCCAAGTTTTTTTTTTTTTTTAAGTGATGCCTAAGATGAAAAGAAAGTCTTTTCCATTTACTTTCTGCATGTGAGGAAAAAAGTTTCCTTATTCTCTTTATTAAAGTATATAATAAATATAGACACATATATATGTATATGATTTTTGTTAAGTGACAGGATAGAGTTTATTGACAGGGAGAAAGATTGATAAGCATAATATGCAATATAGATGTAAATAAAAGGAGGGTGACCAGACCCTCCAGCAGCAGGGCAGGGGGGACATCTGAGTGGAAAGCTCCCATAATAATGTTTTGTTTTTTTTTGTGTGTGTGTGTGCAGGTTTTGGCTGGGGCTGGGTTTGAACCTGCCACCTCCAGCATATGGGGCCGGCACCCTACTCCTTGAGCCACAGGTGCCGCCCAATAATGTATTTTTTTTAAAACCTGCATTTGCCTGGTGCTTTACAGTTTACAAAGCCATTTTTAAACCCTTGCTTCATTTGGCTCCCATATCAATCCTATGGCGTAGGAGCATTATTTCTAGTTTAGAGATGAGGAAATGAGCTCAGGGAGGGGAAAGGATTTGCCGGAGAATCCTCACCTTCTGTTTTCTGATTTTCATTACTGCTTCTAGTACCTCTTGTGGACGTGCTGCTATGCACATTGCCAGGAGGGCACCTGTCCTTCCATTTCTCTTCTGAGCCACCCTCCCCCATGCCATCAGCTATCCTCGTGCCGACTTCTAGCTCCTAGTGCCTTCTTTGCTTTCCCTCCCCAACCCTTCCCCTCCCAGCTGCACCCTGTGTTCTCCCAACTTTTAGTAGCCCTTCCTGCATCCCATTCCTTCAAGGCCCTGCTAAGTGACTGGCTAATCTCAGCCCAAGACATTCCAGTGTGTTAATATCTACAAAGAACTTCATTTACTATTGAGAATTGTCGACATTCTAATCAAAGCTTTCATTATCCTGACGCAAAGGGAAGTGTTCTAGAGCAAGGTCAGGAGGGGGAAATTTGGCAAGACCCACAGAAGAGAAAGATCTGGGGATATCAGAGGTGTTAGTTTAATACACATCACTACCTGCCCCAGGATAGATGGATGCCACACCTTAGTTCAATTTAATCATCATTATTACATGGCATTCTCCCTTCCGATACGTTTCTTCTTTCTTATTATGAAAACTGAAGAGAAGATCCAAGGCCACGTGATGTGGGCAGTTAATACTGCCAAGAGTTTATCATTTGTAGTCAGCAATGTGAGTTGACTTCCTGCCATAGGGATGCACAACCTTTTTTTGGATACCTAGAGAGCTCCATAGAAAGCAAGGCAATGAGGCTAGAGACTCACGGGGTGGAGAAACAGATTTCACCTTGAAAGAAGGAGCAGCAGGTCACATTGTGAGAGGTAAGCAAAGCGAGGTGGGAGGACTCTGTGGCCATTCTGTAGTATGCACTCCATGGCTGCCTGAGCAGAGTCCTCGTGCCTTGAAACTGAGCTTTGGCCACAGGAAGGGAAGCAGTGGGGCTTGCTCTAAGATGATACCTTGGATTATTGTCACCTCAGGGCAACTTATAAAGAGAAGGGCTGTTCTACATTCTGACTGCCACATTCACCATCCTAACTGAAGATGTTCAGCCTTTCCTCTAAGTTTAAATGAACCGGTACACCCCTGTCTCTGCCACCCTACCTACTTGTTCACTAGACCATATCACCACGCAACCATGCAAAGATGTTAATCCAGAAAAGTTTTCCCTTTCAAATCCTGCTAGTTCTGCTGCCATCTTCACCCAGGAGAAACATCTCCCAGTCCGATCCCTGCACCAGCCTCTTAATTGTTCTGCTTTCACCCTCATCGCCTTCGCCTGTTCAATTTCTTCCCCACACAGCATCAGATCATGTGATTGGCCATAAATCAGATTCCATAATCATCCACTCAGAACCCTCCCCTGCTCTCATGTCACTCTCGGCCAAAGCCGGAGTTGTAGCCATGGCTGACAAGACCCACTGATCTCTCCCCTGCTGTCTCTTCTATTTCAACCCCTTCTATTCCCACTTTGTTTGCTGAACTTCCCGCATTGGGCTCTTTGCTGTCTCTGGAGCATGACACACACGCTTCTTTGGGCCCCTTGGCCCCTTGAGTTGCTGTATCCTCTGTCTGGCATGCCTTCACACAGATATTCTTTTTTTTTTTTCAGCCAGAGTCTCACTGTTACCCTTGGTAGAGTGCCATGGCGTCACAGTTCACATTAACCTCAAACTCTTGGGCTTAAGCGATTCTATTGCCTCAGCCTCCCAAGTAGCTGGGACACAGGTGCCCACCACAAGGCCCGGCTATTTTTTTTTGTTGTTGCAGTTGTCATTATTGTTTAGCTGGCCCAGGCCAGTTTTGAACCCGCCAGCCCCAGTGTATGTGGTGAGTGCCCTACCCAGTGAGCTATGGGCGCCACCATGCACTGATACTCTTATAGTTTATATGCTCATTTCTTTCCTTTGGTGTCTGTTCAGTGTTACCTTCTCAGGCAGGCTGTTCCCAGGGACCCTTGTGTGCTCTTTCTCTCTCTCCTCTGTTCTGTTTATTTTTTCTCATAGCAATTTTTTGTAATGTTGTTTGTTTTCCCTCTCTTCTCACTGAATGTAGCCTCCACGAGGGTAGGAATTCTTCTGTTTTTTTTTCTTTTTCTTTTTGAGAATTGTTGACATTCTAATCAAAGCTTTCATTATCCTGGGGAAAAGGAAAGTGTTCTGTTGTGTTCTTAGTACCTAGAAAAATGCCTGGCACACAGTAGACAATATATTTTTCAAATAAGCAAACAAATGAAAAATAAAATAAGTAATTTGTACAAAGCATGTTTATGTAGATTAATCCACAGGATTCCCATAACAAATCTACTAGAGATCATTTTCAGCATTTTGTTGATGAATACGCTCAGTCTCTGAGCATTTACATAGCAGATCCAACCTCGGTCTTCAGTCGCCAAATTCCGTCTTCATCCTGGTTCTGTAATTGTAACTATGGATTCCTTATCTGCTTCTGGGATCTTCAACATTGAACTTACTTAACTTTTATCACTTCTCATTAAATATGAATGTGCCCTGAGGTACAAAACACAAACTTTTGTACATTAAAAAAAAATTAGGTCTCTAATCAAAACTTCAAACTCATTACAAGCTGAAGATGTTTTCTGATCACGTCTCCCTAGATGTGGACCCTTTCTCTAATCAAGCAGTGCTCCATCTGCAGAAACAGTCGGCTTTCTTGAGAAAGAAGCTTTCTTGAGAGTTTAAAAGTCAATTACATTTATTTACCTTAATTTTTAAAAAGTTTATAGTGCAACAAGGTCTGAAAGGCGTGTTTAAACCTCTTCCCTCCGACATCAAATGCAATATTTCATTTTTTGACTCAAAATTAGTTTGTATCAGTATGATTTTATACCCAATAAAGCTTTCCTTTATTTTAAGAAAAGAACTCCCTGCCAGTAGATGAACAGGCTGAACATTTACAGTAGACTAGCTTTTAAATGTTAATGTATGTTGTTTTATTTTTCCTTTATAGGGGGTTTGTTTTTATTATTCATGAGAAGGCAGCATCAGAAGGGACTTTCAAAGTCCTAATACAAGAATCTTTGGTGGGCATCTTACTTTTGAATCTTGTAAACACTGAAGCATAAACTCTCTTACCAAATAGTTCTTTGCATTTGTGAACAGCTCCAACGCCAGACAATCTCTCTTTTTTTATTTCACTAAACTTTTTTTCTTATAACTTTTGGAGTTGGGCAGAATCCAATTTCTCTTCCACCTGCCAGCCTTCAAGTAGTTGAAGACAGGTATGTTCTGGGTCCTAGGTAACCTCGCTACGTCTCCAGACCCTTCACTCTCTTTCTGGCCGCTGGGCGTGCACTCAGGAACAGCTTCCTTTTGTAAAAGGTGACAGCCTACACAGATCGCAATAGTACAGATTTGTTCTGAACGTCTCCTCCTCCCTTCTGCACACTGTACATCTGTTTACAGCCCACATTCACACTTGTTTTTTTCTTGGCAGCTTTGTTCCACTTTTGACTTATCCTGAATTTTCAATCAGAAAGTTGCCTTTAGGGGCTGAATCCGGCAGCTTAGGCCTGTAATCCTAACACTCTGAGAGGGCAAGGTGGGTGGATTGCTCAAGCTCAGGAGTCTGAGCAACAGTGAAACCCTGTCTTTACCAAAAATAGACAAACTCGCTGGGCATTGTGGTGGGCACCTGTAGTCGCAGCTACTCAGGAGGCTGAGGCATGTGGACTGCTTGAGCTCAAGAGTTCGAGATTGCTGTGAGCTATGATGCCATGGTACTCTTTCCAGGGCACAGAGTGAGATTCTGTCCCCCCAAAAAAGAAGTTGCTGTTTTTAATGGGCTTTGAGTTTCTGAAGGGTATGTGGCAAGCAAGGCATCCCTCACTGTGACCTCTCTCCAGGTTTTAGCTGTGTCCCTCTCTACTCCTCTGCAGAGAGCATTCATCATTGCCAACTCCACCTTCTACCCTAAGGCAAAATTACCAATAGTTTTTTTTCTTTTATCAGACAAAATCTCACTCTGTCACCCTGGGTAGAGTGGTGTGGCATCATCATAGCTCATAGTAACCTCAAACTCTTGGGCTCAAGTGATCCTCTTGCTTCAGCCTCCTAAGCAGCAGGGACTACAGGTACCTGCCACAACACCTAGCTACTTTTAGAGATGGGGTTTCGCTTTTGCTCAGGCTGGTGTCCAACTCCTGAGCTTATGCAATCCACCCATCTCGACCTCCCAGAGTGTTAAGATTACAGGGGTGAGCCACGTTGCTCAGCCTACCTACAGTTTTCATACAATGCAGATATGATTACATCTCTTCCTGGCTTTAAAACATTGGGTACCTCATACTGAAGAGGTCTTCCTAGCATGGGCCTCCCACCTTTCTAGCCTCTACCCATTCTTCTCTTCCTTTCCCCCCAGCCCAACTGGAAGTACCTGCCCTTCTTCTGGGAACACAGCATGTCACTGGTGTGTCACTTGCTGAGGTCTGGTGAAATCACAGTTAGGAGTATGTGTTCCCAAGCAGATTACACATGCCTTTGCGGGGTGGTTAGTAATTCTATTCATTTTTGTATCTGTAGCCTCAGACCTGGCATGCAGTGGATTCCAGTGAATGTGTTGAATGACAGCAGGGGTTGGGGGTAGATGGCCGATGGGTGGATGCATTTGTGTCCGTCTCCCATGGGACTCCAAAGCTTAGAGAGCTCAAGTAGATACCTCACTGCGTCTCCACGGCTTCCAGGGGAAGGCTCTGGGTCACCATCTGGATCATCGCTGTCTCCTCCATCCCACTCTGCACCTGTTCTGAGTATGGACACTCAGGAAGTGCAGGTGAAGGTACATGGCTATTTTCAAGCTTGTCTCATGAGTCTTCCTTCTCTGCCTCTCCGCCCTCCCTCCCTGTCTCCCATGCCTCTCTGCTGTTGCCCTCTTCCCACCACCCACTGCTCCTTCCCTGTGCTCCCCGCTCTCTGCAGTCAGTGTCTGCTTCCCCGTGTGCGTGGAGGTGCCCTCAGAGACGGAGGCCGTGCAGGGCAACTCCATGAAGTTGCGGTGCATCTCCTGCATGAAGAGGGAGGAGGTGGAGGCCACCACGGTGGTGGAATGGTTCTACAGGCCCGAGGGCGGTAAAGATTTCCTTGTATGTCTGCCTGCTGATGCTGGCCTTTCCTCTGCTGGGCTCTGTGGTTGTGAGCCTGCCTCCTGACAGGCTGGGGGATGCTGAGCTCACAAACACTGGCTCTTTTTCTTCCAAGTGCTGACAGCTCCTGGACAGATAACCCACAGACTTAGTTTGGCCCAGCTTCTGTGAATAGAAGGGCATTTTTGGCCAACTGCAAGCACCCCCGGTGGTGAGCAAGGGAAGTAGGAGAAAGAGAGAAACCGTATGGAACGTCTGCGATGTGATAGGCCCCAGTCAGGCGGGTGTTTACATTTAATATTATGCACCATTAACATTCTTGCAGTAGACTAAATTCCACTTCAGGAAGAATGAAACAGCACAGGATGGAGCATTTGATTGTCACAATTCCCATGGAGAATGACAGGGAAGGGCAGTGCCTGTGGATCAGTGGGTAGGGTGCTGGCCCCATATACTGAGGGTGGAGAGTTCAAACCTGGCCCTGGCCAAACTGCAAACAAAAAATAGCCAGGCGTTGTGGTGGTCACCTGTATTCCCAGCTACTTGGAAGTCTGGCTCAGGCTTGCCACCAACATGTCAGCAAAGCTCCAAGCAAAGCCATTGCCCAGCTTCCAGCAGGCTGGACGTCTTGGCCAGATGCAAAGGCCCCTCTGGGCCTCAGGCTAGCTATGTGTCAGCCACCTACACTGCTTCTGGGCAGTGAGGAGAAAGTGGCACTAAAGGAAGAAAAAGAACTGAAAAAAAAATGGTGGCAATCGGCGGTGCTGTCCAGTAGAAATGCTTGTGCTGATGGGAGTGTTCTCCATCTGTGCTGTCCAACACAGTAGCCACATGTGGCTATGAAAGTTTGAAACGTGGCTAGTGCAAGCGAGAAACTAAATTTTACATTTTATTTAATTTCTAGGAATTTGAATTTAAGTAGCCTAGAGTGGACAGGACAGCTGCAGAGAAAAAAAGGTGTGTCGTGTCAGATGGTGGGAGTGTTTTTGAAAAGAAATATAAGATATCAGATTTCAGTTACATACAATTCGGCCCAAAGCAAAAGACCTGGTGTGTGCCTCTGGGGTGGCCGCTCTCTGCTCCTCTGCCATGGTCAGTGTCCTGGATTCCCTTCCTTGAGGCCTGACCCAGATTTCCCCATAGGACCCCAATAAACACCAGCTTGGAGAGTCCAGTTGTGAGGCCAGGATTCTCAGGTGTCTTCATTACTAATGAAACTGACTCTCTTGGTCTCCACACCTTGCTCTCTCACCGGCAGCCCCATGACACATCGTACCCTATCTCTGCTCTCTCCTTCCATCTCCCTCCAATCCTTTCTTTCTCTCACTTCCCTTTCTTGGTCTCCTGAATGTTTCTTCCACCTGCTCTGTTCTGCCTCTTTCTACCTTTTTTTTTTTTTTGCCAAGCTTCTCGCTACCCTTTGCTGCCCAGACACTCCATATCTTTTCATCCCACCCCACATTCCAGGGCTCCCGGGGACATGTCCCCTCTCTTCCTGCCCATGCTCAGTTCAGCTCCTCTTCCCTGCCCTGCCCCCATCTCCGTTCTCCTGCCCTCTCTCCTCTCCTGGCCCACCCTCTTCTGCTCCTCTACCTGCAGATCTACGAGTATCGCAATGGCCACCAGGAGGTAGAGAGCCCCTTTCAGGGGCGCCTGCAGTGGAACGGGAGCAAGGACCTACAGGATGTGTCCATCACCGTGCTCAATGTCACTCTGAACGACTCCGGCCTCTACACCTGCAATGTGTCCCGGGAGTTTGAGTTTGAGGCACATCGGCCGTTTGTGAAGACGACGCGGCTGATCCCACTCCGAGTCACTGAGGAGGGTGAGGCTGAGACACAGAGTCTCCTGGGCATCCTGCTGTTTGGGGGCAGCAGTAAGGGTAGTGGACTTCCATACAAGCGAGACCCTTAAGAGAGTACAAAAACCCACCTGTGTATTTGGTGTGGAATGTCGCCACTGACCCATCCTCTTTTGGTGGCCGGCTTCCAACAAACTTCTCAACCTTCTTGCCTTTCTATACCTTTCCTCATAGCAGAAAGTCTTGGAGATGAGAGTAGAATGACCTTTTCCTGGTCCCTTCGAGAAAGAGGATAGCCCCCATGAGGTCTAATGCTTCTAAATCAGCTGCTTTTTCTTCTCTGGCCTGTGTTGACTCCCCAACTCATTGGGCTCAGAGAAATTCCATGAGGTTGTCTAAAAGTCATCTTACTTCCTCTCTATAAGGCATACGTGCCTCCAAACCAGTGGTTTTCAAACTTCAGCACGTCTCAAACCCCCCTGCAGGAGTTCTTAAAGCCCAGACTCTCTGACCACATTGTCTAACAAATTTCTGGGCCATGTGATTGCTGCTGAGGGCCTGACTTTGAGAATCACTTTCTAAACCAAAATTTTGGGGTTTGTTTTTTTTTTTTTGAGTTTTTGGCCAGGGCCAGGTTTGAACCCACCACCTCTGGTATATGGGGTCAGGGCCCTACTCCTTTGAGCCACAGGTGCCTCCCTCTAAACCAAAGTTTGACAGTCTATTTGTCTTTCAACAAAATAATAACCCATGCAACCCCTTTCCTGTCTGTGGCACCTCTTGTTATATAAATTCATTCTTAGCTGGGGGAAGAGGACAAGTTGATAGCTTTCTAGTCTGGAGTTTAAAATCTTCAGACTCCTACAGCTATTTCCTTATGAGTGAGTGAGAAGTCCTTCCAGCAACCCGACTCAAATGTTTCTGCTAGTCCAAAATCCTGAAGGTAACTTTATAGCCTTTCTCAGACAGTCTGTTTCCAGCATGTTCTTAGCATTACAGCTGCCCTGAGATGTGGGCTAGTGAGCAGGCCACAGTGTGGGGCATGAAAAAAGTGATGAAGATAAAGAGAGGGCTCTTCCTAGAGAAAGGATCCAGGGATCCCAACCTCCAGGCACAAGTTTTGTTTTGTTTTTTTCAATCCTGTCACTGTGATAAAAATAATGAGGCAAAGATTGTTCTGTCCTGAGAATGAACACGGGAGAAAGAGCTGTAAGAGGTCAGATGATGGGACTAAAATGAAAGGTAGGTCACTTCTGAAAGTGGAGGACTCTCGGCCACCTGAATCAAGACTTGATGAGTCACTTCCCCTCTCTGAGCCCGTCTCCTCTTGTGTAAAATGAAGGGCTTGGATGGGAGTTCCCTAAGGTACCCTGGTGTGCGGGCTCCATTATCCTGTTTACACACCTCTCCTCCGGGGATAGCAGGTGGGGGGAAGCAACCCGGCGCCCTCTACTGGTCACCGTCGGGAACTGCTGGCTGTGGCCACACCTAGTAAGGTGCACCGGTCTCCACTTTTGGCTGCTCAGGCTTTTGTCCCCAGGGATCTTTGTGCTCAGCTGGTGGAAAGTCTGGCAAAGCTGAGCTAGTCCACCTGCCAGGCACCAAAGCAAGCCTTAGGTAAAAAGAGAAGGGAAATAAGTTTTATTATCTTTTTTTTTTTTAAGTGACAGAGTCTCACTTTGTCACTCTCAGTGAGTGCCGTGGCGTCACAGCTCTTGGGCTTACGCTGTTCTCTTGCCTTAGCCTCCCGAGTAGCTGGGGCTACAAGCGCCTGCCACAACACCCAGCTGTTTTTTTGTTGTAGTTTGGCCAGGGCTGGGTTGGAACCTGCCACCCTCAGAATATGGGACCGGTGCCCTACTCACTGAGCCACAGGCACCACCCGCTACACTGAATCTTTAATGCTTATTTCTGTTTGGCTTTGGGATTACATGGAAGGTCCTTGTTTCTGATCCAGACTTGTAAAGAATATGTTTATATCACTGGGTCAGCTGACTGTGGACACTAGACAAATTTTCCAGTGCTCTCTCCCTCGGGATAGCACACTCCACCATGGGCTCAGAGGACATGGGTGGTTGGAATAAGGGTTGTTCCTTACACCTGTGTAGGCTTTTAAATCTTACAAGATATTCTTAAATATATCCAGTAATGTAATATTCCCAACAAACCTGACTGGAATAAATTATTCTTGCCTTATAAATTAAGAAACTGAGTCTTGGCTTGGCGTCCGTAGCCCAGTGGTTATGGCGCCACCCACATACATTGAGGCTGGCGGGTTCGAACCCCACCCGGGCCAGCTAAACAACAATGACAACTGCAACAAAAAATAGCCAGGCATTGTGGCAGGTGCCTGTAGTCCCAGCTACATAGGAGGCTGAGGCAAGAGAATCACTTAAGCCCAAGAGTTGCCACAGCATTCTACTGAGGGTGACATAATGAGACCCTGTTTCAAAAAAGAAAGAAAGAAAGAAAGAAACTAAGTCTCAAGTTAGGGAAATGACTATTTACAAAGTTGGGATCCGACTCCATGAATTTCACTCTGAGTCCTTTCCCGCCCATCCCCCACCCTTAGCCCTATCTCCGGAAGAAGGCTGACGTACAGGAGTCAGAGGACAGGGAATTCCTCCGACATCTTCCCGAGTTTCTTTAGACTTGGTGCTTAATTAAGCCACACTTAAAAACAGGCCTCCTATTTCTTACCCCAGTGACAGCCATGGCTTTATCAGACATATGTATTCTGAGCCTCCGTCTCTTCCTTCCAGCCGGAGAGGACTTCACTTCCGTGGTCTCAGAAATCATGATGTACATCCTTCTGGTCTTCCTCACCTTGTGGCTACTCATCGAGATGATATATTGCTACAGAAAGGTCTCCAAGGCAGAAGAGGCAGCTCAGGAAAATGCGTAAGTCCCCAAATACTAAAGAAATAGTGATAGCTAGTGCCTTCAGAACCCCTGCCCTTGCAGGTGAAGTGCTAACCAGTTTACATACCTCCCCCACTTTCTTCCTAGTAACAACCTGTGAGGTAGACACCATTCGTGTGCCCATTTTACAGATGCAGACATTGAGTGGGAGTGTTCCCCTGAAACCTGACAGGTGACAGAGATGACCTCGCAGTCACTGAAGGAAGACTGAATTATCTAATGTGTGGTCTAGGGAGAAGGCCAAAGTCATACTGAAAAAAGTAAAATTCGATTCCCAGCCTTTCACACTAAACAAAAATTGTGAGTGAAGTGAAAGTAAAATGTAAAATTTGGAAATTCTATTAAGATAAGAGGATATCTTTCTTTTTATCTATTTTTTTTTTTTTTTTGAGACAGAGTCTGAAGCTGTCTCCCTGGATAGAGTGCCCTGGCATCATGGTAGCTCACAGCAACCTCCAACTCTTGGGCTCAAGGGATCCTCTTGCCTCAGTTTTGCTATTTTTTGTAGAGATGGAATCTTGCTCTTGCTCAGGCTGGTCTCGAACTCCTGAGTTCAGGCAATCCACCTGCCTCAGCTTCCCAGAGTGCTAGGATTACAGGTGTGAGCCACTGGGCCTGGCCTGAGAATATATTACTTTGGAATAGTGGTGAGCCTGTACTGTGCTATGGGTGCTGAGCTGAGACTGAAGATAGCTCAAACAAAATTGCCAAAGACACAATCAGAAAAAGAAAAATAGGTGTGACCCATACTTGTATTCCTAGCATTTTGGGAGGCCGAGGTGGTGGATTTGCTTGTACTGAGGAGTTCAAGACCAGCCTGAGCAAGAGCAAGACCCTGTCTCTACTAAAAATAGAAAAAAGTAGCTGTGGCATGTACCTGTCATCCCAGCTACTTAGGAGGCTGAGCCAGGAGGATCACGTGAGCCCAGGAGTTTGGAGTTGCTGTGACTATTAGGACACTACTGCACTAGACACAGGGCAAAAGAGACCCCGTCTCGAAAAAAAGAAAGCGGGGGGGAATAAATCTGATTACATTTTATGCAAAAATCAATTACTCATGACAAGAATCCATAAGCAAAGTTTATAGATAAACAACAGACTGGGAGAAATTTTCAAGACATGAAATTATCCAAAAAATTATCAATGAACAAAGACAAATAGCATAGAAGAAAAACTGGCAAAACAAATGAAGAGTTGAATTTCAGAAGCAGAAATCCCAATAGCCTGTAAACATAGGAAAGACGCCTAACATCTCTAGTAATCCGGGAAATGAAAGTTAAAACAACTATTAAATATAATTCCACACCCATCAGTTTGATCAACGTTTTTTTTTTTTTTAGAGACAGAGTCTCACTTTGTCACCCTCAGTAGAGTGCTGTGGCATCAGAGGTCACAGCAACCTTCAGCTCTTGGGCTTGGGTGATTCTCTTGCCTCCCAAGTAGCTGGGACCACAGGTGCCCACCACAATGCCTATTTTTTTGTTGCAGTTTGGCCAGGGCTGGGTTTGAACCCGCCACCCTTGGTATATGGGGCCGGTGCCCTACTCACTGAGCCACAGGTGCCGCCCAGATCAACATTTCAATCTAAGTCCCAAAGACAATATGGATAAATGGGAAGACATACAGTGCAGGCAGAAAAGTTAATATGCAAATCTGGGGAGGCAGGTTATTCTACAAGGATCATTCTAGTTTTCTTTGGGGAAACACATCCAGAGGGACATGCAGAGTTGTTCTGTAGACATCCCTGTTCCTGGGCCCTGCTCCCTCCCCTGCCTTGTGTTCCACCACGAGTGAAGCTCTGATTGTCTCCCCCCATACCCTCTACAGGTCTGACTACCTTGCCATCCCATCAGAGAACAAGGAGAACTCTGCGGTACCAGTGGAGGAATAGAACAGAAGCAGTATGACTGGAGGTGAACAGGGACTTGGGAGGGGAAGGCAGGCATGGATGGCAGGTTGTACAAGTGATGTCACTCACAACTGAAGCGACTTTAATTTGACCCCTTAGATCCATTTCTGTCCCCACCCTGAGGATACTTCTTTAAGTTGATGCCCAAGTCACTAAACTTTGTGTGATGTCAAGACCTTCAAAGGTGAATTGCTTTGGCCTGAGTGTTGGGACGATCTGAACTTTGCCCTCTGTGATAAAGGGATATTAATTCTCCCACTCCCTCCACTGGCCAAAGAGTCTTCGGGCTGGGCTGGAAATTCTCAGTGAATTGTTTTATAATCAGTAGGTGGCCCGAACACTGAGGGACTAGATATCCCAGATTCAGTGATGTCAGCAGCATCGGGACAGGGCCCTGGCTCTTCCCTTCATCTGTCCATCTTTCTATTCATTCATCCATACATCTGTCTTTGAGCTTTCGCCTCTGACTGCCTAACTCCATCAGACCTCTCCACACCATAAGACTTTGCCAGAACCAAGAAGCCAACATTTCTACATGGACTGAACCTCACCTTGTCCTCGCTCTCTTTGAAACCTAAAGCCACCTGGACTTCTCCCCTGTGCTTCACATGACTTTGTATAAGTGCTGGAGAGGTAACACCTTCCTCAGCCTTAACTGGCTGGAAACTGGCTCATTCGCCATTGCTTCAAGAGAACGGATGTCTTATTGGAAGGAACCAGAGTTAAAGTAAAAGAGTATCATGAACTTGGATTAATTGATGTCAATTTTTTCATGTTCATGGCCCACTTGGCTAGAACATCAGAGAAAAGGATGACTCTCTAGGTTCTCCAGTGATAGAAAGATCTTTGAGTGTGTACTGGCACGCTAGATACTGACTGGTCTTTAAAGCCTGTGTTGGACTCAATCCTTCCAAGAATCTAAGGACAGAAGACTTGGGAAGGACTAATGATAATTTCAGTCGCTCTTTAAAGTTCCTGATCCTATCCTGATAATATATGTGTGCCCTCCGTGGGGTGCACACCACTTGGGCATTGGAACTGAATTCTGAAGTTCCTCCTCTCAAAATTTCTGTGGATCAGTATTATTCCTCATTTTACAAGAGGCAACTGAGATTCACACAGGACTCAACTGAACAGGAGGCTTAAGAGGATTAACTGGAGCAGAAATAAGCCTTAGGTGCTTCCCAGGCAATACTTTTTGGGAGGGATAATCTTGATTTTGAAAAGACATGGACCTTGGCCATGCCTCCTTCACAAGCGCTGATTGGGCAGAGGTTAAAGTTGGTAGACTCAGGTCACTAGAAACTGGCCAAAAGAGACATGAGGTAGACTTGAAGAATGTCCTTTCTGTAAAGATTTGAGAATCCGGAACATCCTTCCAGGAGAATTATATTTAATCTAAGAAAAATGCTTTTTGGCCTGAGATGGATGACAATTAAAGCAGCAGAATGAGAGGGGAGGGATGGGTAAATGGCCTCCAAACACTTCACCTATGGATCTCTAATATTCAGAGTATTTTCCCCCTAAACTTGGAAAGAGCAGGGTAATAACAGAAAAAAAAATTGTAGTCCAAATCTCATGTTGCATTTGAATTGAGTGACTGGTCCAAGTGTGCTGTCTTTCAGCACCTAGAGATAAGAGGGGGAAGATGCTCCATGGGTATCAGAAGATAAAGGTGGCCGGGATTCAGTAAGAGGGGTGTCCCTCAGATCTCAGATTTATGGGGACAGAACATATTCCATTGGTTTGGGGCTTCACTTTTGGGCTCAGTCCTTCACCTCTTCCATCCCTGGGGAAGCAATTAAAATAACACATTTTAAAGAGCCTGATTTTCTTTGCAATAAATTCAATAACTTTATTGGTAATTCCCCACACAGTCCCTCTGAAGTAGAGAAGAGAATGTAACCATTTTTCTTACTTTATAGTTAGGATACTTGGCCTTAGGACGAAGCTTTCCCAGTCCCATGGCTGGTGTTGATGCCACAGCCGACAGTAATGACAAGCTATTGACTGCCACTCCATTCTCCTCTTGGTTCCAGTGGACCACGTATATGACTTGTAGCCAAGTCATGATGGCCTTTATCTTTTTTCTTTTATTTCTAAAAAATCCAGCTCAGAAGTTTCCTGAATGGTTTTTAATGAAGCTGAATATACTGATCATTTATCTAATTCAAGTTATCTTCTCTACTCTTTTCCTTGTTCTAACTTCTCAACTCTTCTCATCCTTGATGCTTTCAGGAGAACTCTATGGCTTGCTGGCCAGGTGCAGTGGCTCACACCTGAAATCATAGCACTCTGTGAGGCCAGTGTAGGAGGATTGCTGTAGGCCAGGAGTTCGAGACCAGCCTGAGCAACAAAAAATACAAAAATTAGCCAGGCCTGGTGGCAGGTGCCTGTAGTCTCAGCTATTAGGGAAGTTGAGGCAAGAAGATCTCTTGAGCCTGGGAGTTTGAGGTTGCTGTGAGTTATGATGATGCCATAATGCCACTGCACTCTAGCCCAGGTGATAGAGCAAGACCTTGTCTTTAAAAAAAAAAAAAAGAAAAGAAAAAAATCAAACTATATGGTTTATAAATCCTTCTGACTTCAATTATTTTATTTCTTCTCTATAACTGGCCTTGTGAAGTAGATGTTGTTAATACTCATGTTACAAAAGAAAAGTGAGGCCAAGGTTAAGTAGCTTTATGAAATCTTAAGGTCCCCTAACTGCTAAGCAGAGAGCTAGAATCCAGATCTGACTCCTACCCCATTTCTCTTTCCACTTAGACCACAGCTGCTTGCTTCTTTCATTTTAACTTCCATCTAACCTCTGCCTCTCTTGCGTGTCCTCATTTCCCCAGCTCCTCTCACCCCTGAGCACCCTCACTGCTTCTCTACCACTTTGTTTCCTGGTAGATGCCAGAAATATGCTTTCAGAGTCACTCCTATTTTGGTTCTCTTTCCAGTTGGTTAGTGCATCATTATTTCTCCTGAATTGCCATTAAATTCTTTCCTGGGACACTTGATCATGATGACTGTAAATCTACAAGATACTGTGATCACCAGCCCCTGTTACATCTTCACGCATTTCCCTGTTTCTTCCCTTATCCCCACAAAAGCCCCATGCTAAATGTGCGTGGCTTCCGAGCTTTCTCTGGCATGCAGTTGCTTATTCAAGGGCTTAGAAGAGTTTTCAAGGGCTACCAGCACTTTAGAAACCCCATCTGTTGTCTTGGTGCTGGATATTTCCCACGCCTGGTCCTCGGTAACGCGATTCACTGAAGGCCAAACTAGGTTCAGTCTGATTTTTCCCTTTCTTACTAACAGCCATGAACTTGACTGCTCAACTCAGCTGGCCCTGAAAGCACATTGCTGAGCTTCACTGTCGGCTCAGTCTTGTATTAAAGCCCCGACTCCTGCATGGGTAGTCAGTGCCTGTCCCTACCCCCAGCCTTTATTCTTAGTCTATCAGCAGGATCCTTTAGGCCTCCGTCCCCAAATGCCCACGCGTCCAGACTTCCTTCATAGTTTCTGGTTTCTTCTCAAATGTCAAACTAGAAATATCCCTAGGAAAGGGACTTTTCAAAGCAGGAGTATGCTGGGGAAAGTAGAGGATGGTTAACAGAAGAGACAGGAGCTTCCTCCTCACCCCACAGAACTACTAGATCAAAAAGGAATACACTCCCCAGCTCAGCATCTGTGAATCCACATCCTATGAATTGGAGAGAAAAGGGTACATCACTGCATCTTTTCAGGAAGGACAAGCAAGAGCTAGATGCGTTTCGGAATAGATCTTGGTTCCCCTTTCCATTGTTACATGGAAATGGAAAAACAAAAAGCAAAACAAAGCCGCCTTCTCTCCTCACTTCATAAATGAAAAAACAAAACAAAAACCTTAACTCGGTGACTTCACTATCTAGTCACCCATTCATTCTGCAGACATTTTTCAGCACCCACTGTGTCAAGCACTAGCCTAGACCCTCAGTAGGACCTGCGGTCATAGGTGTAAAAATAGCATCATCCGAGCCTTACTTAATCTCCAAAATCGATAGTAGTTGAAGCTTGTGTTTAGTTCAGCCCACTTCCTGCCCCTTACACGAGTTTATCGCAGGACCCAGGAGATGGACATTTCTAAACAGGTATGAGTTACAGATGAGAGTCCGCCGCTTCCCCAGGCCATCTACAACTCAGAGCTGGCAATCACCGGCATCACTGCTTGGCAAGAGCTACCTCTGCTGGGCAGTGGGTCTGGCACAAAGGGAGGTCATGGAAGGCTAGTGCTTGCAGGTTTGTGAATTGCCATCAACACAGCCGACTCCAACAGTCTGCAAAACGTGGAACGCTTTTCCCCACGGTCACCTTCATGTTGCTTTTTCTTCATTTTCCACAGCCAGTCTTTTCCCCAAACTCTAGAAATGTTCCTGACCACCCAAGCCCTCAGCAGACTAATGCCCATTTGTGATGTTTCAGTAACCTCCCTGTTGTGTCAATAAAGTTATCTCTGAAAATCACTTGCTCTGGTACACGTGTCTGTTTCATGGACGGTGGCTCCTCCCAGCACCCCAGCCTGCAGCTCTGCACCTGGTTGGATATGGCAGGAAAATGGAAAATGCCTTTAACTGTGTGGAATTAGGCTCGGCACCTGTGGCTCAAGTGGCTAAGGCGCCAGCCACATACATCTAAGGTGGCGGGTTCGAATCCAGCCCAGGCCTGCCAAACAATGATGGCTGCAACCAAAAAAAAAATAGCCAGGCGTTGTGGTGGGTGCCTGTGGTCCCAGCTACTTGGGAGGCGGAGGCAGGAGACTCATTTGAGCCCAGGAGTTGGAAGCTGCTGTGAGCTGTGATGCCATGGCACTCTACCCAGGGGAACAGCTTGAGACTCTGTCTCAAAAAAAAAAAAAAAAAAAGTGTGGAATTAAACACACACCAATAATTGTGTGGCCTGGCCTCACCTCTCCTGGTTCCTCCTCTACCTACATACAAAGAAATGTAAGACTCACTTGTGGACCTTGCCTGGTGTGAAGTGAGTTTCCTAACAGGTGCCAAGGAGCTAACTGCAGAGCTGATGAAGGGCAGGGCCAAACTGGCAGAAAGATTAAAAATCTTAGTATAATGCTGGCTGCCATAGTAAGAAATACATGTGTGTGTTTAAAAAAAAATGACATCCCTTAAACTAAGGTTTAGTGTGATGTGTGGGACCTAAGGTGGCACAGTTGGGTTTATACTCAGGCTGCCTCCCTCCCCTGAAAAGGTGGATGGCTGTGTGTCTACAGCTGTGCCTACACAGGTGGCTTAAGGACTTGCTGTGGGCATATCTGGAAAGACTAGGAACATTTGGGGATAGGAACACTGATGACTCAAACAAGAAACACGCACATCATTTATTAGTGTAGTTCAACACATTTTTCTTTTAATTCATACTGTACTCCCATGGTTCTAGCTACTTTACATTAAGATTTGGCTGGGTAGCCTTGTATGTTTCTAGGTACTAGCAGTAAGTTTTCAGACCCTGCGCACAGCGCCAGGCAAAGTACAGTTATAGATCCACATACAAACGGCCAGACAACTCCACTGCAGTCGATCTGTTCTTTCTAGTATATGGCCCAGTGCAGGTGTTGGGGGGCTGCTCCCTTCTGCCTTGCCCCGCCCCACCCCACCCTGTGTCAGGATTATCCAGGGGCCACCTATGGCCTCTGACTCGTCCCTCCCCACTTTGGAGTCTAGGTTGAGTGGGGGGAAAAAGCACCATGGGTTTGGGAAGATGGTCTGGTCCATGCAGAGAGTGGTCTGGCCCTAGAGTGCAGAGCGGGGAAATGTGGGGAGCCACACACAGCTGTTGGCAAAGACGGTTGCTTTCACAATGCAATCTGAGCACGCAGCACCCACGCCCGCCACCTCCCCAGACACAGCCAGCTGTCTTGCCTGGAACAGAGGCTGCCATTTTGTTTCTGCAATGTCTTATTGTGTGGAGAGAAGCAAGGACAGCTGAGGTGCAGAGATGACAATGTCCTTTAAGCCTTCACATGTTGGGGAGATCGTTGGGTAGCAGCTCCTCTTGGCAGGCAAGGTGCTTCTTACCGGTAGGCAAGGCTCTGATCCAGGCTCCAGGGTCTGCTGAGGACCTTGAGTCACAAGACCCCTGTGCTGTCCCACAGAACATCAAAACTGGGAGCTGGCTGGGCTCACTGCGGCGGTGGCCAGAGCAGGAATGAGGTAATGAGGCTGGGCAGAGAGGCGGGAAGGTGAGCTCTCTACACCATGTGCAAATTCCTGCTTCTCGTTAGGAAAGCAGGGGCATTAAAAGACGGCCTTCCAGAAAAATGCTCCTCTCCAACCCAAAACACATCTTCTGGAAGAAAACACAGAGGCGGAGGGGAGTGGGGCCAGCCTGCTAGAGGTTGGGGGATGAGGGTTTGAGGATGTCAGAGGAATGGGATGATTATCCCACAGCCTAGAGAAGACAGCCAGGTCAGGAAGAGAGGTCCTAGAGGTTCCTACCGGAAGAGGCAGTGGGGGCACCTGGGGTGCAGGGAGGTGACCACTGCCCAGCCATCTGGGGCAAGAGAGAAGAGTGCTGTTTCTACTGGGGACCCTTGGAGGGAAAGGTTGGCTTTGGCTGTCCTGCAGAGCTTAAGAAGTGGCATAGTATGGCACAGAAAGGACCCTCCTGGAGCCAGTAACAGTCCAGAAAGATTCTTCTCCCAGTCCCTACCCCAGGTTTTCATCCTAGAGCTGCTGCCTACAGGAATAGTCCGAGTGGGACATGGAGGGAATCTACTTCTAACAAAGCATTCCTCTTAGGTCTCTTGTTCCTTCCCCACTCCTTATCTCCCAGGTTCT